TTCAAAATTCAATTCACTTACCAAGCTATAGGTACAGGTACGTGATTGTGCTAGCGATAAAAATTCAGTGGGCTGTGTGGGCAGTTTTACCAGTATAACAACGCGATTGGCTGAGGATTAATTAAAATACGACAGTTGATAAAGCAATAAATGACAAAATATATTATTTTAACTTTGAAACTCTATACATTGAAAAGCAGCAACATACATATATAGTTAAGGTACGTTGACGAGGGTTTCTTAATAAAACATCCTGTATAAATATGAAATACCAAATAATACCAGAGATCAACATTTAGTTTGACAAAAAAAACACCGGTCTCTACCTAGGTACCCAGGGGTTTTTGGGGTCGCTGATTCCGATTCCGATGTCGGTTGACCTCTATTACCTCATGTTCAAGGTCGCTTCAAGGTTAAAGTAATAATAGGAGTTGAAAAAAATGAAAAACATTTTTACGAATGCTCATTTGCCTACTTTTGCCTGTTTATCTGTATGCCTTTTTACCTGCACTCCTGTTTGTTTGCTTGTTAGTCTGTATTTATCGTTTTCCTGTATTTTCTCTCTGTCCATCTACCTGACATCCTGCCTTTCTGTAGGTAATTTTTTCTATCTTCCTGTCTGACTATATGACTAAATATTTCTAGCTATCTGTTTTTCTGCCACCCTCTGTCTAAATATCCACTGACAGTCTGTTTGCCTCGTTTGTCTTCTTACCTTTCGGCCTACCATCCTATTTCGGTTTTGCGTGATTGTACAAAAACTAGATTAAAAAAAACTTTTGAATGCTGATAGAAGCGAATTGATTTGTTGAAGGCTTACAAAAGTTTTTTTTAATCTAGTTTTTGTACAGTCATGTAGAATTGAAAGAGGGTGGTAAGCAGAAAGGTATGAAAACAAACTGACAAGAAGGCAGACAGGCTATCAGTGGACCTTTAGGCAGAAAAATAGATAGCTAGAAACACTTAGTCATTTGGTCAGACAGGAAGATAGACAATTTTACCTACAGAATGGTAGGATGTCAGCTAGATGGGCAGAGAGAAAATACAGGCGGACGATAAATACAGACTAACAATCAAACAAACAAGTGTGCAGGTAAAAAGGCAGACAGATAAACAGACAAAAGTAGGCAGGTGAGCATTCATAAACATTTTTTACAATTTTTTTCACTTACTGTTTTTACTTTAACCTTCAAACGACCTTGAACATGAGGTAACAGTGGTCAACCGAATCGGAATCAGACTCAGCGACCCAAAGAACCTATGCATGAATATTTTAATTTTTTTACAACCGTCTTTTTTTAGTTTGACCTTTCAAACCAAGCCGTTACAAAGGAATGTAGTTTTGAATGTTCATTTAACAAACACATTGTTTCTTGAAGATGATGAAATATGAAAATTGATTATATTTTGCATAAAAAAGGTATTCTTAAATTTTAATAGCATGAGTCGTTTTCTGGTAGTATCCATTTCAATAATTCATTACTTGCTCAAAAATTCCTACTGCAAAATAAATTTATCAAATTACAATTTTTATTTAATTTTCCTTTTTTAGTATTATTATCGTTATTGTAGTTGCGTTATGTAACTGTTACTAAATAAGGGTTTAATATCACATTTATGTAGATAGTTTTGTAGTAAACAGTAACATAAATAATTTTGAATAATAAAATGTTAATACTATTATTGCTTTTATTTGAAAATCAAAAAATACCAAAAAAAAAGAAACCATGACCCATGAAACATAAAATTTTTATTGTAAATGTAGTTTCACCGTTGAAGATAATATTGCATTGTAGGCTAATTCCGACACGGCGGAAACCGCGCGGAGCTTAGTTGTAACCGTTTTCGAATTCGTTCACACCTGCCCACCATATTTGATCCGCGCGGATTCCTCTGTATCTAAATTAATAGCCCTATAATAATTTAGTTTATTCTATGTTTATTACAGTATCTAAATTCAAATTTCTTATATTGGAATATTGAGTAGGTAATCTAATCAGTAATTGATATATACAGGGTGTTAGTAAAAAAGTGCGACAAATTTCAGGGGGTGTTTCTACATGAGAAAATAATGGCAGTTTGCTTATAAACGTATGTCCGCAAATGATTCGTTTTCCGAGATACGGGGTGTCAAAGTTTTTCTTAAAAACTGACGATTTAATTTATTGCTCTGAAACCGGTCGAGATGTGCAAATGAAATTTGGTGGGTTTTAAGAGGTAGTTATTGCGCATTTTTTGACACGCAATTAAGAATTTTATGTTCATCATTGGCGCGCGTACGGGTAATAATCTCAATTTTTTTAAAGAAAAAAATGGTACGCCACTGAGATATTACAAATTAAAAATCATTTTTGAATTCCTCGTTCAATTTGTGACAAAAAATCTCTCTTGCCTTTTCTTCGTATGGGGCGCCGTTTTGATGCAAAAAAATAAAACATCTTAACGCGTATTTTTTATTTCTTTAATACATTATCAAGAACTATCTAATACAATAACATTAAACCAGAACAATAACAGAAAATAACACTAATAAAATTTTGAAAAGGCGCAAAGCTACAACAAATGTTCAAAATGACCTCCCTCAGACGTGACACAAGATTCAACTCTTCGCCTCATTGATTGTCGTATTCGCGCAAATATTCCTGGTATATTTCTTATTGTCTCACAGCCGACTATAATTCGATTCCTCAGGTCATCAACATTTTCAACGGGAGTGGAATAAACTAATGACTTAAGAAAACCCCAAATGCAAAAATCAAGAGGATTTAAATCCGGCGATCGAGCAGGCCAATGTTCCGTACCTCCCCTACCTATCCAACGATTTGGATATACTGTGTCTAAGTGATTACGTACATTAATGCTAAAATGGGCTGGTGCACCATCATGCATGTACCATAGGTGTTGTCTCAGCTGTAGAGGAATTTCTTCAAGAAGAAGAGGTAACTCTTCCTATAGGAAATTAAGATAAGATTCGCTTGTTAGTCGTTGTGGGAGGAAATATGGACCGATTAAATGATCATCAATTACTACAAGCCATACATTTACCGAAAACTGATGCTAAAAATGAGCTTCAAAGATTCCATAGGGGTTTTCCTCAGCCCATAAGTGATTGTTATGGAAATTTCTTATACACTGTCGTCCAAAAGTAGCCTCGTCAGTAAACAAAACGGCATTTAAAAAATTAGGAATTTGAGCGATTTGATGATTAATCACTTGGCAAAAAAATAGGCGCGGAAAAAAGTCTCTAGGTAGTAGAGCTTGCACACGTTCAATATGAAACGGATACAATTGCTGTTCTTTAAGAATTTTAAATACAGTGAAGTTGCTTACATTCAATATGTTGGCAATTTTTCGAGTACTTGTTTCAGGTGACTCCGCAATTAACTCGAGAACTGCTTCTTCTAGTTGCACAGTTCGTACTTCTCGAGGGCGCCCACAGTCAACCGTTTGTTTCTTAAATGAACCATTTTCGCGCAAACGTTGATGAAGACGAGCAAATATTGTGTGATGAGGTACCCTACGTCCTGGATACAACTCAGCATACAATCGTCGAGCTTGCCGACCATTTCCATTACTTCGACCATAGACAAAATGCATGTCTGACAATTCCGCATTTGTAAAATTTTCCATTCTTTTCGATAAAAGAAAAATTAATTACTTATTAACACTAATGTTATAGCAAACTAAAAGCTTAATAAATTAATAATGACGAAACGCTAATTTGACATTTCTTAAAAATATTCGTATTTAACAGACAAATGTTGACAGTAGCCTACTAGGTAATGTATTAAAGAAATAAAAAATACGCGTTAAGATGTTTTATTTTTTTGCATCAAAACGGCGCCCCATACGAAGAAAAGGCAAGAGAGATTTTTTGTCACAAATTGAACGAGGAATTCAAAAATGATTTTTAATTTGTAATATCTCAGTGGCGTACCATTTTTTTCTTTAAAAAAATTGAGATTATTACCCGTACGCGCGCCAATGATGAACATAAAATTCTTAATTGCGTGTCAAAAAATGCGCAATAACTACCTCTTAAAACCCACCAAATTTCATTTGCACATCTCGACCGGTTTCAGAGCAATAAATTAAATCGTCAGTTTTTAAGAAAAACTTTGACACCCCGTATCTCGGAAAACGAATCATTTGCGGACATACGTTTATAAGCAAACTGCCATTATTTTCTCATGTAAAATCACCCCCTGAAATTTGTCGCACTTATTTACTAACACCCTGTATTTGACACCTCTGTGTGTAATCAAAAGTAATTTTCTCATGGCACAATTTGATATATTTATTTTCAGCAGGAATTTTTGAGCACGTAATGAATTATTGAAATGGATTTTACTAGAAAACGGCTCATGCTATTAGAATCTAACAAGAATACCTTTATTATGCAAAATATGATAAATTTTCATAATTTTGATTCAGGAAGTAGAAAAAATTTCGTACAAAAAAAAATTGTAAAATTTGTTCCATGGTCCCGCATTTTCTTACGCCCCTGTAGCAAATTTTGACTTGTATATTATGTCGATTATTAAGCATATAAATAGTAATAGAACCCCAAAATTTCGTGATTTAATATTAAACCGTTTTGAAGTTATGCAATAAAAAGTGTTTCCTGAGTTATTCCTTCAAAGGGCTGTCTCCCTTAGGGGTCGCCACTGAAAAAAAATTTTATCAAAGTTTTCATCATATTTCGACATGTTTTACATACTCTCCAATTTTGAGTACTTTTTCGTTAACACCTTGTATATTCATATAAACTTATTTTCCCGAGAATACGCCCTGAGGAGGATAAGGTTTAATTTTAAATCACCCACTTCTTTATAAAGATGCTTCAGTACCGTAGCATCAGCTGCAAATAAAATGAAACAGATTCATCACCCCCGCTTTGCGTCAATCCTACAAGATTACCCCCTCGCTGCGTCCATTTCAACGTAATTGCCATTCTGCTCACCAGGCGCAAATAAAACGAACAGTAAAATTGTCCTTACCCGGCCATGCCGCTGCTCTCCATTTTGTTGGCTAATTCCACGTCCTTGGAGTAAACATCGAACTGCCACTGTCGCTGGCCCAAAACCCCTGCCAGGACGGCTCCAGTGTGGATGCCGACCCTCATGTCCACGGGAGAGTTGGCTGTCTGCTGTACGTATCTGGAAAGATAGACCGGCTGTCAGGACTGTTGGGTATTAGGCTACGTCTCAATTTAGTAAAACCAATTCTACATTTACCAAAGTTTGACCCTATAAATGGGTCGATATTTCGACTAAATTATATTAATACGTGTTACACAAAAACTTCTTAGGTTCAGTTTTAAGACAATAGGGGTTTTATGAGTTTAACATAAGCTTTTTAAAAATATCAAATATTGACTGCTTTATTAATATATTTAATATTATAATTAATTCTTTTTAAAAATTTTGTTACAATGAGATATAATTGTGAAAATTGAATAATTTAAATTCCATCACATTAGAAGATTCGTTCTCCAGAATTAAATAATTACCTATATACATACAAAACATTTTTTTGGACATTATGTATATCAGTGTTTAACAGAAATCGTACAATTCTAAATGCAAATGCTTGCTTCCATGAAATACATTTATTTCTTAAAATTAATAGACTACAAGCCCATCGGAAATTTTCAGAATTCTTGTTGGTTTTCGGCGGCAAAACATTTTTGTAGGGCATTTTTTCTGAAGTGTATAGGTTATACAAAAAAAATGAACCTCACCGAATGCCGTACAAAAATAGCAATACCGGAAGCCAGGAAAATTTTGGCCCGGTCTTTGGTGATTTGGTACGGCATTTATACTGTAAGTTTCGGATTGATACGTAGATATTTTTTTTAGTGGCGACGTATCTGCTGATACGGGGGTTACAAATTCAGAGCGCAACCCTCTATTTTAGCTCGCATTGTTTCAAGACATTGAAAAATGTACGGCATCGATTCCACATGATTATTTCCAAATAATTCTTAGCAACTATGCCGTCTGAAAATTATGGAATTAATGCAAAAGTTTATAAACAATTACTTGTATTTTGGAATTGAGTTTTATTTTTATTTTTTTTCGATAAGATCATTAATTCCTGTACGGCAACCACTTTTTTGATAAAATATAACCAAAAACTATTGTACTAAATCATGGCTGGTTATAATTAATGGTACAAATTAAAAATTCGAATTAAAAAACAAATAAATAAATTTTGAAAATTTACAATATTTTGAAAATTCCTTGTTATAAACTAAAAATGTTATATTCAAAATATTATGACTGTAATTGACTTTTCATAAGTAAAAAAATAAACAAAAAACAATGGCGTACATTTTTAACTAGTGGATTTTACATAGCTGATAATATTTTTCATTAAATTTTTACTACATTTTTAGGTCATTAATAACTATACGGCATTTACAAATTTTCATCAGAAATATAACATAAAGAATGAAAATTGCAATGCCGTACATATTCGTTGGAACAATT